CACTTTTAATTATTTCATGATTTTTAAAGGCAGGGCTTTAAAAAGTGCTCATCTGTGCACTCATGCAACCACTGGTGTCCATGGAAAAAGCTGGTGGTTAATTGTTGCCAGCAAGCCAGCTTGCCTCAAAGGTTCTGCTCCTAGTAGCAGGGCTTGCAGGAGACAAATAGTCCCAAAGACATTGTTGATGCTCAGTTAAAGACGGTTGCTTAGGGGGAATAATGCCATTTTGACAATGTTAATTCTCCTGATCTGAGAGCAGGGGATGTGTCTGCATTTCCTCGTGTAATCTTTTCTTTCTTTTTTTCTTTCTTTCTTTCTTTCTTTCTTTCTTTCTTTCTTTCTTTCTTTCTTTCTCTCTCTTTCTTTCTCCTTCCTTCCTTTCTTTCTTTCTTTCTTTCTTTCTTTCTTTCTTTCTTTCTTTCTTTCTCTTATTGAATCACCATGAGATATAGAGTTACAAAGTTGCTCAAGACTGGGTTTCAGTCATACAATGTTCCAGTACTATTTCTCACCAGTGTATAATTCCCATCACCAATGTCCCCAGTTTTCCTCCTGCCACTCTCCCCACCTGTGCCCATCCCTCCACCACTCGCCCCATCCTGCCTCTATGGAAGATGCTTTTATTTTCTTTCTCTCTGTCTTTCTCTCTCTTTAATCTCTTGAAATAGCATTTTGCTGTTTCCTTTGTATGCATCCATCACCCCTTTAGTTAAGCTGAATCTAAGGTACTAGATTTTCTGAGGCATGTTTGTGAATGGGATCACTTGATCACTTGACATCCCGTTACTCATTGATTTGCTTTAGCGGGCACCAATAACATCTCCATTTTTCCCTGTTGCGTGCTAGTGTAGCCCAATGGCATCTGCTCGTTCTAGGAACACAAAGAGCCGCAAACTGATCGTTCAGGGTCTTGACAAAGAAGTCTGACCATCTTGTAGGTGGGCGACCATGCGATCTTTTGACATCCCGTGGAATCCATTACAGCTCTGGTCCAGTGGTCGTCTCCAAATCTCATTACGTGTCCCACTCATCTGATTTTTGATGCCTTGGCAAACGAGACAGTGTCCCTGATTCTTGATCATTGATGGAGGTTGGTTGGAACTCCGTATTTTTTTCTCATTTGAGTGAGTGAATGGGATGGTTTTAAAATATCTCTTTCTTCTCTTTTATTATTTGTATTTAGGAAAGTCATGGACTCTTTGGTTGATTTTGTAACCTGCCACTTTACTATACAAATCTATTGTTTCTAGGAGTTTTTTTTGGTAGAGTCTTTAGGATTTTCTAAGTATAGTATCATATCATCTACAAATAGTGAAAGCTTGATTTCTTCCTTTCCTCTCTGGATGCACTTGATATCTTTTTCTTGCCTAATTGTGTTTCAACTACTTCTAGACCTATAGTGATTAGGAGTCACAAGAGTGGGCAATCTTGTCTTCTGCTTGATCTTAAAGGGAGGTTTTTTTTTTTCGCCACTGAGGATAATGCTTGCTGTGGGCTTGTGGTTGATGACTTTGACTATATTGAAGAAAGTTCAGTACTTAAAGATGCCATGATATCTTTTAAAGAAATAGATCAAGAACTCCCAAAATTCATATGGGAAAATAAAGCCCAGTAAATTGCTAAGGCAATCCTTGGGAAAAAGAAGATGGGAGGCATCACCTTCCCCAGCTAGTAATTAAAACAGCATGGTCTTTGAATAGAGCCAGGCCCACGGACCAATAGAATAGAGTTGAATATACTGACACAGACACTCAAATACATGATCACTTAATGTTTGACAAAGGAGCAAGACATGTGAAGTGAAGCAAGGAAAACCTTTTCAACAAGTGGTTCTGGGAAAACTGGACAGCTACATTAAAAAAAATCTCAAACTTCTTTTAAATGCCAGGCACAAAAGTCAGATCAAAATAGACTGAAGACCTAAATATCAGACCTGAATCCATAAGAAACATGGAGAAAATCATAGGCAGAACCCTCATTGACATTGAAGCTAAAGGCATCTTTAAAGATGAAATGCCACTGACCAGGCAAGTGGAAGCAAAGATAAACAAATAGACTGCATTAAACTAAGAAGCTTCTGCACCTCAAAAGTAACAGCGAGCAAGATGCAAAGACAGTCCATGGAACTGGAAAAATTATTTACCAAATATTCATCTAATACAGGGTTAATATCAAAGATATATAAAGTACTGTTTAAAATTTTCAAAAAAAACCATACAACCCCATCAAAAATGGAGAGAAGAAATGAACAGAAACTTCCTCAAAGAAATACAAATGACCAAAATGCACATGAAAGAGTACTCGAAGTGGCTAATTATCAGAGGGATGCAAATCAAAACAACAACAAGATGTCATCTTATACTACAGAGACTGGGACACATCAAAAAGAACAAGAATAGCCAGTGCTGGTGCAGATGTGGGGAGAAGATGACTCTCCTTCATTGCTGGTGGGAATACTGACTGGTCCAACCCTTTTGGAAAACAATATGGGCATACCTCAAAAAACTGAAATGAAACTTCCAAATGACCCAGCAATACCACTTCTAGGAATATATGTGGGTCACCAAACACATTTGCACTTTTATATTCATTGCAGCACAGTTCACAATAGCCAGAATGTGTAAACAACCAGAGTACCTGCTAACAGACGACTGGATAAAGAAACTATGATATATCTGTACGGTTGAATACTAAAAAGCCACCTGGAAAAATGAAATCAGGAAATTTGCTTATAAATGAAAAAGCATGGAGAGTTTCTTGCTGAGGGAAATGAGTCATAAAAGGAGAGGGGCAGACATAGAATGATTACACTCTTGGTGGGATATTCAGAAAACACAGTATAAGACTAGTACCCAAGGACAGGAAGAACAAGGGCCAGGAGGACTAGTCCATGGTTAGTAGCTAGTATAGAGAAGGGACCACTACAGACAACGATAGTTGGAAATGATCACTCTGGACAAGAACTTAGTGCTAAAAGTAGGTAAGGTGACACACATCATGATACCCTTTCTTTCAGTACCTATACCGCAAACCATAATGCCTAAAGAAGAGAGAGACAGAGAGACAGAGACAGAGAGGAGTGAGAGACAGAAAGAGACAGAAATAGACATACAGAGACAGAGAGACAAAGACAGAAAGAGAGAAGAAAAATTCATACAGAGACAGAGAGACACACACAGAAAGAGAGAAGAAAAATTCATGCCAGAGAAGCAGGCTCAGGTGAGGGTGGGGGTGCTGGAGGAAAACTGGGGGCATTGTTGGCGGGAAATGTATACTGGTGAAGGAATAGGTGTTGGAACACTATATAACTGAAATCCAACCAGGAACAACTTTGTAACTGTGTACCTCACTATGATTTAAAAAAAAAAAAAGTTTTTTTTTTTTTAAAGACTATTGCTTTTAAAGGGTTTTCCTTCAGAAAATCTCCAATCTTCCAAGATGCTAAAAATGGTCAGTGTTGCCAAATTACTGTACTCTAGGGCCTGCTTTTCTGTTATTAAATGGGCTGTTAATACTTAGTGCTGTTCTTTCTGGAGATTTTTTTTGGAGGGGGGGTGGAATCCCCTAACTGATGTGAAGCCACTTTAGCTTAGTTAGGGGCACTAATTCTCAGTTCTTAGAAGAATTCTAATTTTTCCCAACTTGGAGGCTTGAGAAGTTGTTTGATAGAAATTAGGTGCTTTCCTAGAGTGATTGTTTGTTACAGACCAGAGCTGGGGTGTGTCTCTAGTGCTGGTCCCTGGACATGTGCATGACCTGTGACCAGGCTTTTCTGAGCTGCTGACAATGATAACAAACATAGTAGGATTTGGACAAAAGAGTTCTATTTTCTTATCCTGAGGAGAGCTATCTTTTAAAGTGGAATTATGCTTTTCTGTCAATTTTTAAATTATTATTTTCTCTTTATGAGGTAGTAATGCATAGATAGAAGTGGTAGAGGCAGGATTAATTTTAAATGCCTTTACATGGAAAAAATAAACTAGAAATTATGTCTGTCCTTTTTTCCAACACCTAGTTAATATTTGTTTTTTTTTTTAATTTAAATGTTTGTGGTTTGGGCAGGCCCAGCCCCAGCCCCATGTGATTTGAAATGTGTTTGAGGTAGGAATAAATTGGCGAGTAACTTCATTTGTGATTTGTTTCAATAGTTTAAACAAAAGTTTGCTCCTGTACTTATTGTACGCATTCATAAAATTGCAGATAATTATTAAGAACCAAAGCATCCGCTAAGCAAACCTTAATTTTATCTTCTCCCTCCCTCCTGCCCCAATAATTTCCTAAGGTCTTGACAGACTGTTGTTTTGAGCTTAAAACTCTAATTATGTTGTTTGTTTTTAATCTAAAGAAATGTTTGTGGTATTCCAAAAGTTCTTGGGTATATGTCTGGATTTGACCATCTCTCTACTACTGCATCATTATTTGATAAATATATCTCCTACAGATAGGATTTTTAAAAACACAAGGACTGAAATTGCCACAGATTCACAGAGTTTCATCAGATAAGTTCACTCCGAGAAAGCGACTTTCCGTTGCACTGAAAAGATTTTAAATTGCTCATTTCAAACCTTCAGTAGCAAAATGCCATGCGTGCAGCGGATTTGCAGCTACGTTAGTCATTTTCTTTCCCCTGTTTCCTCGCTGTGTTTGTATTGGGAGTGCAGAGTAATGTAATTTAGTAAATGATGATTTGATGGCTGGGCAACAGCCCCAGTGTTGAACAGTATTTGGACTATGATTACTTGCTGGCTTTGTCACAGTTGACATTAATTATTGATGGAAGTTTCAGAAATAGCGCATGTGCCAGGAGCTTTTCTCCCGAACGCAGGCTCCAGGCCGGAGAGATGCTAAAGAGGGCGGGGGCCAAGGAGGCACCTGTGGCTTGTTTATGACGGTGTCCTGCGAGGCTGGACCCACCGGGCTCTGTGGTACTTGTCTAAAGGTCATGGTGTAACGGAATTATGAACCGCCAGGCTTATTTCTATCGTGTTCCTCCCCAGGAATTGCACCGAAGAAGCCAACTTCAGCCGGAGCCAGCCAAGACGAAGGCTCTCCAGACTGTCATAGAAATGAAGGTAGGAGCTGTTCATGTTTGTCAAAACAGCTGTGTCTCCGGACTTTGTTCGAACTTGATGGTGCCTAATATAAACCGGTGAAGGGAACCTTATGTTTTTCCCTAGACACTCTGGTGGGTGTGCTTTTATTCTCTGCTTCTTTTTGCCTGCCTGGGTACATTTAATTTATTAGCCCTTTAATTAGGATGGCTTTTCTGGGCAAAAGAATAAAGGGCTCAAGTATCCTTTGCTGAAAGGAGCTGGATTCATTTCCAGAACATGGCCAGTGCTTTCAATTTTAAGAGATGCTTTGTGTGTGCTTTAAGAGCAAATTTCAAAAGCCAGACTAATACTTTTCCCCCCACCCTTCTCATTTGCAATACAATGAAAAGACACCTTTGGGAAACTCACATTTGTCTAAGCAAAGTTGTTTTTTGTGCAATGGAATACAAATATAATTGAAATTATGTTCTCAGAAAAATTGGTTATTCAAAGGATGGTACTTTCTTGTCATAACTTCAGTGTTTTCTCCTAACAAAATCTAAAAGTAATAGTAATTTGCTAATACTCACAAGGCATCCTATTTGGTCATGGTGATACAGATATGCAATTAAAATATGACAAATATCCTCCCGACTAAATTTGGGGCAGTTAAAGAACGGTGGAGCAAATGATGATGACCAAGCCATAAAATATGATTAAGAAAGAGATACAAATAAAATCCAGTACTTTTGTTGCTGTCCAGAAATTTGAATTGTTTTTACTTCCAATTTTTTGCCAGAGGAAGCAAATAATATTTACCTAAGAATAAACATGTATTTACTTAACTTATTACATGAAAAATATCATAATAACAGTATTTTCTATATGGTAATTCACACTTGCATTTACACACAAAAAATTTGCTGTTCACCTTCAGCATATGAGAATCCCAAAGTGTGCTGATAAGAGGATGATTTTTCTTTCTTTCAGCATATGATTTTGAATTGTCTGTTAAAAATCCCTAAGTCCTGGACAAAAAAGAAATAATCCAACCCATTAAATTTATTGGTATATACATTTAAGATTTGAAATTTTATTTCTAGCTAATGGTAATGTCTTTAACCCAATAGTAAGTGATGTCTTCAGCTAAGTTGGGTTTTCATGAAAATAAGTGAATATTTTCTAAGTCTATTACTAACACACACTCTCTCTCTCCCCCGCATCCCCCCCGCACTCTCTGAGGTTACATAAGTCAAGGTACTTATAAGCAAATTAGTGTGAACCTTGCCATTAAAGGGAACATATACCAATGGATATAACTTAATTGTTAATTCCATCAATTGTTTCCAATTTTTGAATTTCTCTAGTTTTAACTTCCTTATAAACATTCTATACATGTTAGAGACAGGTTTATGACTAAGATTTATCCTCACTTTACATTAGAAAAAACTTGAGAGTTGGTTAAGAATTTAAAGTCAAAAAGGGAAAAACAAAGGATCTTGTTTTTTTGTTTTGTTTTGTTTTTTGGAGTTTTTCTTTTTTGGCAGAAAATCATTTAGTCCCCCTACATTTTTACTTCTGCATCTCTCCATTCTGTAATATAATTAGTAGCATTGTAGCACTGTCCTCCCGTTGTTTATCGATTTGCTCAAGTGGGCACCAGTAATGTCTCGCAACAAATTGTGAGACTTGTTACTGTTTTTGGTATATCGAATACACATAGGTAGCTTGCTAGGCTTTGCTGTGCGGTTCAGATACTCTCGGTAGCTTGTCGGGCTCTCTGAGAGGGTCAGAGGAATCGAACCCAGGTTGGCTGTGTGCAAGGCACACACCCTACTCGCTGTGCTATCACTCCAGCCCTGATATAATTAGTAGTAGGAAAAAAAGGGTGCATTATTTAAAATCTATTTTCAGATGACTATTATTTTTAAAAAGTAAGTTTATAAATTTTTGGAAAAAACAGGAATGATATTTCTCTCATTGCAATGGATATTTTCCTGTGAGGCTGTATACAAGACAACTAGTACTTTTCTGTGTTTCATTAGTAGAAAGCCTATTTGATTCTGGCTTACTATTTTTAGCATTATGTTTCATTTGAGAAAATGCATTAAGGAAATAAAAAACATTCTTTTACACCCTATATAAGAGGAGACATAAAACCTGTTTTCAGGGTAAATTCATATCTGTATATAATCTGTAAATGGAGTCTGACATTTTTCTTAAATGGAGACTAATGGTGTTGAATTGTAGAAGAATATATCTTTACTACAAATAATGATCAATATATTTGTCAGAGAACTGGGCCTGGAGTTTATCTTTTGTCTTTTAGAGGCCTGTTAATTTACAAAGCACTGCCTTCTGTTTTGTCAGTGTAAAAGTCTGGGTCCCATTAGCATCTATACTCAACATGTATAAATTGAATTACGGAGGCAGCTGGTAGAGGGTCATCTTCTCAGTCGTGTTTTTAGTTTGTGACAGAGGCTATGATTTCATCTTCGCTAGGTTTTTATGCCCCTGTGAAATGAAAGGGAGTATTGAAAACCTGTATCTGATAAGCCATTGATAGTGACACTAAGTCATGTACCTAATTTGAACTCCTGATGAGTGGACATTGTGTTTTAATTTAAAACATTGTGTTTTAGCTTCAACACTGTTGGACAGACATCCAGTGCTTTAGTAAAATCTGAAGTTAAATTAAACTTTCTTTAGACTAAATTGGATCTGTAGTTTTAGAGATAGGACATAAATTAAGGGCTTAGGTATGACCTCTTCTTGTCCTGGCTGTATTCGGGGGTCACTGAAGCCGCACCCAGTGGCGCTAGGGGTGGAGGTCATGTGGTTCTGAGGTTGGAACCCATGTCCTCATATGTGAAAGGCATGTTGAGCCACTTGAACCCCATCCAGGCCCCTACTTGTTGCTTGTTTTTTAAGAAACAGAGGGTAAACTCTGACTCCTTCTTCTTTACATGTTGATATTGAATCAAGAAGTGTTTGTTGTGACAATTCTGTGAAATCTTGCCCAGTATAGGTAATTACAGAACATAATCTTAAAGTTCTGCCAGATATCATTGTATACTCTCTGGTGTTTTGGAATGGTTGAAAATAGGTTTCTGTTGGGTGAGTGTTGGCTGGGAAGGGCCATCTGTCTGTATCAAGGTGAGGGGGAGGGGCGAGGCGGGGGAGGGCAATTTCTTGTCATCAGACTTACTTTCTGCCTGCTGACCTGGCGGGATCAAGCCATCTGGATGAAGCAGAAAGGAGTGAATTAAGTTATTTTGATTTATCTTCTTGCAGGATGCTCCACGTTTTAATTTTGGTCCTGATTTGGTCTGGCAGGTATGTTCTACATTTGCATTTAGCATACTGTGTGTGCTTCTCAGAAAAATTAGTTTCTGTGTAGTTGTAGTGCTGGTCCTCCTTTCCTTGCTTTTTTTTGGTCTAAATATTCTTTACTAGGCTCCCTTTTCCTGCTTTTATGGAAAACTGTCAATGAAAATGTCAATGAAAAGACTTCCGCTCTTTTTGCTTTCTTGAATGTTAATTCATTTGGAATGATGTGTTTTAAATCTACTTTTGCTATAAATTTGACAGGATGTAAACCTAATGTGAAAAATTTTACTTTTCTGAATTCATTCATTAAGCTCTATGTGTATCTATGAATAATAATGATGATGATGGTACTTGTCAGATAATCTCAAACATTTTACTTTGTTGGAACTTTCAAATAAGTGAAAACTTCATTCAACATGGTCAGAACCAAACTAAACTATTGGCTTACTTAACTGAAAAAGATAGGAATATTTGAGCACAACTTGATCCAGTGATTCAGAAGTTAACATTTGTCTAAAAAGTTCTTTACCACTCCTTCAAATCTAAGTGATGATTTCGCTGGATAGAGTATTTTTTGTTGGATATATTTTCTATTCAGAAATTTGACTATGTCATGTTGCTTTCTTCTGGTCTTTAGGGTTTCTGTGGAAATATACATTCATTATTGTATAGGGGTTCCTTCCATGTGACTGAGCATTGCTTTTTCATATTTTAGGATTCTCTGTCTTTTTTTCCATTTCAATTATAGTGTATCTTGGTATGCATCTATTTTTGTGTGCCTGTTTTGTTTAAAACTCTTTGACATTCTTTGACCTGCATTTCTGTTTCCTTCCCCAATTTCTAGAAGTTCTCAACTATTATTTCTTTAAATAATATTTCTGTTCCTTTTTTCTATTTTTGGCAACTCCTTTGATGCAAATTTTCTTCCTCTTGATGTTGTCTTTTAATCTTTTATATTACTTTCTTAAAAAATTTTGTTTAATTTGGTATTCTGGGATGGGTTTTACTACTTGGAACTTTTTGTTCAATCTTTGATTTCTTTGATTCTTCTGTTGAGTCCCTCTTTATTATTTTTAATAAAGAACAGCTACATGTTCTTTATTGTGATTTTTTGGGGGTGGGTGTCTGTGAGAATGCCACGGTCATATGAGGTTTGAGGGTGACTCAGGGAACATAATTGAATGCAATTAATACATTTGTTGATTAAAGTGTACTAAGGATCTAAGGGTATAATGTCAGTATACAATAGTCTTTCTGTGGTATCTCAAGTGAGGATTTGTGGATATTCAGTCACATGATTATTCAGACACTATATGTCATAAGTGATTCTTCTTGAGTAAAATTTTTCCCCATGAGCCTTTTCTATGGAAATGAATTAGTAAGGAATTCAAGACTGAGCATGGCTATATTTCTATGTTGCACTATTGATAAAATTATGACTATGTAAATGGTGTTAAATTCCAGTGATGATGTTCCTTTTTGTATTATTAAAACCAAAACCACACCATATAATTTGAGGGACAACTGCTATATTACGTGGGATTGAACTGACCTGCAGTTGGTTATTAAGTTTCTCTTAAAAGACTTTGGTATTTGGATGAATTCAGTCAATACATTTTCACCAGGCATGTAAGAGATGCACTGAAGCATTGAGAAGTCTAGAGCTACTATTTGACAACTCTCCCCAAGGTAACACAGCTATGAAAGGA